GTGTGTGTGTGTGTGTGTGTGTGTGTGTGTGTGTGTGTGTGTGTGTGTGTAATCCTAACAACATCCCTGCAAGATGTGTAGGGAAATTGTTATTACCTCAACTTTTTCAAATTACTGAGGCTGAGAGTTGAAATCACACAGTAGCTGAGCCCAGAATAGGACCATGATCTGCTGGCTTCTAATCTACTGCTCTTTCCACTTAATTTTGTATTATATGTTATTTAAATATATCAGTCATGTATCCTCAGCTTTTACAGACTCATGAAATATGGTTGTTTCTAAACTTTTAAGAACTTAATAGGAATTTTGGTGATGAGAAGACATTTTGTTTAAAATGTGACTTTTAGGCTTCCGGGGTTGGAGGGGGAGGCTGCGATGACCCCAGGAGCCGAGGCTGAGGCTGAAGGCTCAGAGGAGGTAGCAACAATGGGTGCGTACCTGCCTCAGCGCTACTTGTGGGAAGTAGAGGTGGAGCCCGACCTGCTGCACATGCCCACCTTTCCCCTGGATTATGGCTTCCAAGGACACAAGGAGCGAGTGATGGCGGTCACGCAGCAGGCAATGAATGATGCGCAGCTGCTACTGCAGCAGTGGGATTACTGCACGCGCTGTCTCATCGGACTACCTAAGTGTAAGCGGGGCTGCTTTCCCAACATCCTGGCCTGCGGCCGTAAGCAGCACGTCTGGGACCTCTGTGAGCACCAGCACTACGTAGGCCAACTGAAAGAGCTTGAGTGGAAAGGCATCTGCTGGCACGACAGAAGCAGTGGACGGAGAGTGAAGCTTCAGAGCCGAAATAGCCACAATTATACTCAAACCCCAGCTCTATCCCCGTAACCATGTACCAGCTGGATAAATAAAGACTGTTTTGACCTTCAGAAAAAAAAAGTAACTTTTACATTTCCCCATCTATTATATACCAGAGCTAATCAACTAAATATCCTTCTCCCTTCTCCCACCTTTCTGTAGAGGTTGATGTATATTTTTATTTATACCCAAGAAAACAGTATTAATATGCTGTCCTAGATATTGAAAGACATTTCTCTTTATGACCCTCCATTTTTTCCAATGCACTCAACCTATGTAGAGAGGCCAAAAATCTTCTCAAGAGATTTCCATGTTGGCCAATTTTGTTATTCTTTCCCTTCCCCAAATACTCCTTCCTTTCCTCCAGATTACAGAATCCCTGAGTTCCTTCAAAGTACAGTTATATGAGATCTTTCCTTATTCCCAAAGTTGCTAGCACTTTCTCTTCCTTGAAATTATTTTATATTACAGTAAATTCTCAACATTTGCACATTTAATTTTTACAACTTCAAGCATTTGTGTGATTTTATTAGTAACCTCATTTTTGCTTTTGCATTGGCAACCATGCACATTCATGGCTATGTGCAATAGAGAAAAAAATGAGGGGTATGATGCATGAAAGTTTGTAAAACAGCTGATGTCCTATTAGGGTAGCTTGGCATAATCAACTAGGGGGCTAGAGACATTGAGGCTGCCAATTACATCATTGATCATAGCCTCAAGGTTAAACATCACCTCGTTTCTGCTATGCTCCCATACTCTAAGACCCTTAAGGATCTCAAATAGGACAATATCCTTCATGATCTCTAATGCCATCCATCATCCATGAAGGACAGAGTATCAGAGGTGATGTCAAGACTTCACCAGTCTCAGCATCTTCTGATAGCAGTGACTCAAATCCCAGCAACCTCTCCCTTGGTTTTCAAAGGGCAGACAATATAGAGAAGTTTACAGCAGTATAGTATATGGTACAATGCCCTGATATTGCCATCTGACACAGTAGAAGGTAAGATTCAGGTTAAAAATGTTTTAGTTTTAAGGATTTTATTGGCTGTACTATATTTATGGATTTTCGTGTGTTATGAAAAGTGAATATTGTCTGAAATCAATGTTTTCTTATTGAGATGTTAGCACAAAAGGTCACAGACAGAATTCTAGGGAAATACTAGTGGAAAAATGTTCTGCATATTACCAGTTTTATTTTGTGTACTGCGTTTTATGGGTTATTTCATGATTACTGTGTTAGTAAAAGTCATGTTATCAGAATTAATGTTTAATATATGCAAAAAAGTGTATTTTCAGCAATTTCTAGCAAAAATATACAGTTTTTAGTGGTCATGAGAACCCATTTCCCATAGGTTCAATGTATCAAAATTCACAGTTTTTACTTTAATGCCATTTCTGGAAATGTTATGCCTGCAAGGTTGAGAAATGATTGTAGTTTGTATGTACTTTCTTCCCCTAATCTGCAGTAGAATGTAACCTCCCATTTGGTTAAGAACTCTTTCATTTTTGTCTTGTTATATACCAATACAGTTTTTGCATGTAGTAAATAAATATTTGTTTAATTAATTGAATTTGTAAACTGTCAAAGCTTATACTTATGTGACATGACCTTCAGAATCTTAGGGTTATCTCCATGCCATGGCGAGGCATCAGAATAGAACTTTAGTGAAGGATAGGCAAAACGATGGGAATGATCATTCTTTCACTTCTTGCTCCATTTAGTTTTAGTAAAGTGCTTGGTAAAACTTAAAGCACTGTTGGAGGGAAAAAAGAAAACCCTATTCCTTCTTCTCCCCCACACAAGGTTGATAGTTCATAAGTTACTATTTTATAAAGGGTTGAGCTATAAAATTTCATCATAAAATTACAGGAAGTTCTCCTCAAACAATCAGATCCAAGGACCCACACAAATTTTATGACTTTACAACTGATGAGATATATAGTCTATATGCATAACGCACATACATACACACACACACACACACGCACACATACATATATACATACACATGTGTGTCAGGTATACTCACCATTCATTTTCTCTTTTCTTAGGCTACTGAGAACTGTGTATGCATTCTTCATAACCTATCCTACCAACTGGAGGCAGAACTCCCAGAAAAATATTCACAGAGTAACTACATTCAAAACAGGAATATCCAGACTACCAATAACAAAAGTATTGGGTGCTTTGGAAGTCGAAGCAGGAAAGTGAAAGAGGTATATTGGGATATGTTTTCATAACATGCTTTTATATAATGTATGTTTCTAAACCCTCTCCCCCTCACTTGCAGGCTAGAGGAAAACAATAAAATTAAGTTTGCACACTTTTGACAGTAACCCGCCCCGATATGTGGAGAATTACTATAAAGTCTCCAAATGAATTCTTTTACTCCAAAGTTACCTCCAAACTTTACTGGCTTCATCAGTCATATAGTCAGACTTGAGAAGGTGTTGTCAGTGCCTTGATTCTGGATTCTGAATGCTTTTCGTAAATAGGAATTTTATTCAAAGAAACCTAGGAAAATCAATAATATTTGAACATAGAATGGTCATATCACAGAGGTTTAGCTTCCTCACGTGGAAGAAGCCTCAGGTTACCTAGCTGGCTCAACTATTCCCTGAGATAAATAAAATAGCTAAAAACTGTTTAATGGTGGACTTGAGGGGAAAAAAGAGTCAAAATTGACCAGAATTTTAATCCTTATTTTAGAGGATGTAATGTCTTTGATGAATTATCTAGTTTGCCAAAATGCTGCTTTTCAGCTAGGTGGTACAGTGGATGGAGCACTGGCCCTGGACTCAGGAGGACCTGAATTCAAATCTGGACTCAGATACTTGATACTTACTAGCTGTGTGATCCTGGGCAAGTCACTTAACCCCATTGCCTAACTAAAAAAAAAAAAGGAAGACAAGAAAGAAAAAATTTGGGGGCAGTTAGGTGGCACAGTAGATAGAGCACTGGCCCTGAAGTCAGGAGGACCTGAGTTCAAATCCAGCCTCAGACCAAACACTTGACACTAACTGTGTGACCCTGGGCAAGTCACTTAACCCCAATTGCCTAAAAATAAAAAAATAAATAAAATAAAAAAAAAATAAATCAAAATGTTGCTTCTCAGTTCTCTTAACCTCTTAAGTATTAATGAAAATCTTTTAAATTAAGAAGACTGATTTTGACAAGTCCAAAATCAAAATAACCTAGAAGATTACACAAACAATACAATGTTGACATGAAAGGTAACAGAATATGACCTTTCCTCCTAGTTAGAATTTTTTTTGTTTTTGTTTTGTTTGTTTTTTTGCTTTTTGGTGAGACAATCGGAGTTAAGGACTTGCCCAGGGTCACACAGTTAGTGTCAAATGTCTGAGGCTGGATTTTGAACTCAGATCCTCCTGATTCCAAGGCCAGAGCTCTATCCACTATGCCATCTCGCTGCCCCACCTAGTTATAATTTTTCAGACAGCAGTGATCTAAGACTTATGATAATGCAGCAAATGTAATGATATACAAGGAAGTATATAACATCTAGGTTTTTTTTATAACTTTATAAGACACATAGCTCACCTTTGATAGGCAGCATGGTATAGTAGAAAAAGGACTAGATTTGGAATACAAAACCTATGTTCAAATCTTGGCTATAAATAACTTTTAAGATTCCCTACCACTCTAAATCTGTGATCCTATTTTCTTGAAATAGAGTCTTCTGTTATCATTTTTGTAGATGATTTTAGTTGGAGATTTATTAACATCATAAGAACCAATTCCAGGCCATCCTCTTCTTGCTTTCTGGTATTCCTAGAGTGTATCCCATAGGGAAGAAGTTGAAAAGGAAGTAGAATTATGGAGAAGAAAATTGAGTTGAAGCATAGGGGTGTGCTGAAGTCAGCTCAAATTGGATGAGTAGAGCTTATTGTTAAATTTTCATTGTTAGCATTTACAACTCAGAAATGGCCAAATGCTCTAAAATTGTCTTGATTTATTGTTTTGCTGATTTTCTAGACATAAGGAAGCGATGGGGAAATGAAAGCAAATCAGATCAAACTTAAAAGTGTGTCATATGGGTGTGGGTAGGGGTGGGTGGGAAAGCCAGTTGTTAAATATTTACCAGCACACTCCTGGGAAATGGAACCATTCATGTTATTTTAATTTACTTCTACCATATGCCCTGCTTCTCAGCTCTCTTTTTTTTCTACTATTCTATTTTAGACAATTGTTCCAATGTATTATGGTTTGAACAGGGAATTGTAAAAGTGATTGCAATACATTAATTCTACAATCTGATACGTTTACATGACTAGCAATACCAAGACATCCCACTGCCAGAGGAAAAGAGTAATCCGAAGGGTGTGGAATGGCTGTGGCACTCCATTGTGATAAGAATGTATCTATCTTTGATAGCCAAAAGTATGAGAAACTACACACAAGAAGCATCTTTGGGAGCTCTCCAGAATCTCACAGCAGGAAATGGACCGGTAAAGCTTATTCCTATTTTAATGCTTTTTTAAGAGATAAAGTAAAATTCATTAGGCCCAAAGATGGGCAATGACAGTAAGTTAGAAATGTGCCCGCTGCCATTCCAGGAGGAATCACAAGAAACTATTACTTAGTAGTTTTCCAGGACATGCACCTTCTGTTCCCAAGGTGCATCAGATTACAAAGGAGTGACTCATATAGTGTCAGATTGTAGAGAAAGAAACCACGTGCTAGCACTTATTCACAGAAATCTGACTATAAAATTTCAACTATTCTTCTGTCCTCTCTCGTGGATTGAAGGTACATTTTGTAAACACTTCTTTTGGGTCACCAAAAGTGTACTAACCCCTCTGAAAAAAATTAGGTTTCTGTTCTGAGACTTTACCTCAGGTAAATCAGTATGGGCTCCTGTCTATATTGTAAAACTTCCTTGCTGGAATAATTTAGATAACAAGTATTAAAAGGTATGATCCCTGCCAGAAGCTCTTTAGCTCAGCACAATGTAAATAAGGATTAGGTAAATAACTTATAGAAATTAACTTATAAATTTTAATTGTGACCATTAAACTATCTTAGAGTATGAAAACAAGACAAATTTTTGAGAAAATACAGTTTATCAATTGTTCATTCTACTGGAGAACAATGTTGTGTATAATTTGAAATTGTTCATTCAAAACTATTTCATGATTGGCTTTGGCATGAATGTTAACATTTTTTTTGGTATGATTCTATTTGTACTAAACTGTAGTTTAGTGCTCTGAAAGAAATAAAATGTTAAAAAAAAAAAAATCCCTTATCACATCTAATCACTATGAAGCAAACTCAACCAAAACTCCAACCCTTTGATTCACTTGTGTTTCAAATAAAGTAAATTTGTATATACCTATGGATGCTATGTATGCATTTGTTAATCACAGAAGCCTCAGACATCTCTATTTAATCAATCCAAAGTTAGTGAATGTAAGTCCTTAAGCACTTTGAAAGGATCAAAGGAACATTGAAAAGTCATTAGATAAAAACACTTGATGCCCCAAGGATTGGTGGAAGAAGATCAAATCACAACTTTTGGCCAAAAACAGCAAGATAATTTTGGGCCAGTTGATCAAGTGAAAGGAGATTATAAATTCTGCATCTGAGAATTCTAGACTATTGAGAGGAGATTAGAGGACTTCCCTCTTTTTCTTCTTCCCCTTCCATTGACCATATTAGAATAGTAGAAGACAATGCATCCAGCTTGAAGGAGAGAAATACATACCTAGGACAAAAATGTTCTTAGTCTCCTGAAAAAAAGTACCTAAGTATACAGAGATTGAATGGACCAGGTTATAACTTTCTGATCTTCAAAAGGTCAGAAGACCTGGAGATTCTGTTAGCATCATTAACAGTGTCTCCCTGAGCCAATGGCCACATCTCCAGAGTAACAGTGTCTAGCAGTAGTCTTTACATTGGAAATTCAAACACAGACTGGGGACATACTAGTCACACTGAGGAAAGGCAACTTCAGGACTCTAAAGGCAATAATACTTAGTAGAGAGCCTACCCTAAGAGAACTTCTTAAGGATTCCTTGAATACAAAAAAGAACTTCCAGTAACTAGGAGTTGCGAGATATCCCTTTGCCATATTGGTTTCCTACACATGTTTCTTGAGACCATTTTACTATAAGTTTGAACCACCAGGGACCTGGTGTGTGCCCAGGAAGAGTCTGCTCCTGGTTGTGGGGATGTTTCTGTAACAACTGTCTTCCCTATACCTGCTAAGTAAATAACCTTTCTAAAATGTAAATTACCACTGTCTTATAATCAGTGGGAAGCACAACACAAGCTATGTGGGAATTCATGTGTGACAGTTAAAGAAAATCCCACAAATCCAAAAGGTTACTGCTAGGTGGCACATGAATACAACACTGAGCCTGGAGTTAGGAAGATCTGAGTTCAAATCTGGCCTCAGACACTTACTGGCTGTGTGACCCTGAGCAAGTTACTTAACCCTGTTTGCCTCAGTTTCCTCATCTGTAAAATAAGCTGGACAAGGCAACAACAAACTACTCCAATATCTTTGCCAAGAAAACCCCAAATGGGTCAAGAAGAGTCAGACATGACTGAAACAACTGAATAACAATAAATCTGGAATCTTTAAGGGAGTTAAGTAGTAGTGAGCCACCCTCAGGAGACTGTGAGGAACTTCTAAGTATAAATGAAAGTTAGGAAAGTGGTCTCAGATAGACCACTATACATTAATTTACATTCACTATACATTATAAGTCACTGTAAATTAATATCTCTCTCTCTTTTTTTTTTGGAGGGCTAGGCAATGGGGTTAAGTGACTTGCCCAGGGTCACACAGCTATTAAGTGTTATGTGTCTGAGGCCGGATTTGAACTGAATCCAGGACTGGTGCTCTATCCACTGCATCACCTAGCTGCCCCTCATTAATCTCTTAAAATATTATTTCCCTATATAATTTCTACACATTATCCATGCTTACTTGCTGAGCCTCATGAAAGTCTTCCATACTCATTTTAAATCATGTGATCTATCCCTTTCACTTAGTGCCTGACTTTAAACTAATTCAAATAGCTTTTAAACTCATTATGTTACTCAGACAAGTTCAGTTTCAGCTCACTTAGGGATTGAGAATATTCTGATCTAAGGCCTTCTTGGGGAGTTCAGACTGATCTAAGGATCATCCCTCCTTCTCTGTACAGGAGAGTGACATGGTCAGTTTAAGTTTTCAATGTCCTCTCCATCTAGTCTATCCCGGAGGATACAGATGATCCTGGGAATCTCAGATGTAATTTTTTTTTTTTTGGCTAGGCAATGGGATTAAGTGACTTGCCCATGGTCACACAGCTAGTAAGTATTATGTGTCTGAGGCCAGATTTGAACTCAGGTCCTCCTGAATCCAGGGTTGGTGCTCTATCTACTGTGCCACTTAGCTGCCCCAACTCTCAGATCTAATATTGATCCGAACCTCTAGGAAGTCTCCCAAAAGGGTCCAAGACTTCTTGGGGAAAAGAATGCCCAATGTCCCTTTACTTTGCCTGAGCTTCTAGAGCTAGATAATGGAACAGTCTTGCCATTTTTAGTGAGCTAATCTGTTCTTTTATTTATTCACGCCCAAAAAGGAGAATCCAAGAAAGAATATTCTTATAAGTGCCTTTGGTATCCATCTGAAATTTTCCTAGATTTTGTGTTTTAAAGAAGAAAACCTCCACACTTTAACTATTTGATTTCCTTGGATTTTCCTTCAGTGAAATAAAATTTGCATCTAATAGTTCTCTTAAATCAGCAGCTTTCATACCTTAGCTGTGATCAGATGTGGTAGTTAGCAATTCCAATCACATAGCAATGAAATGAATCTACAATTCACCTTTTAGAAAAAATGAAGTTAAGTCTAGCAGAAAAGGAGAGACATCAGACTTTAGGACACAAGGCCTTATGGGGAAGAGATGTCAAGATAATGACCTACAGGAAGAGGGCTTGGACACTTGGACACTGCCCCTAGGGACAACTGGGAGGCCACTACCAAGGAATGGAGTAGTATGTGAAGAAGTGTTTATCAGAAAGGAAGTAAATAACTAAATATTTTAAATAATTATCCTTCGTAACATTGATATTTTCAGTTTCTACCTGTTAAAGGAGTACAAATGTTTTCAGTCCTTTTAAATATCAATGTCCCTTGTCAAAGCAGCAATCAATCCAAGGTATCTGTGACTCTGATATCTAGCTTAGGGTTACAAGTTATCTCAGCCTATATCAGAAACCATTTTCTAAAAGGGTCAGTATCTATTCCAGAGCAAATGATTTTAAATTGACATTTAAACTGGAGAAAAATTTTTTTTAATTTTTAAGGGTTTTTTTAAAAAATGGATTAAGTAGTTACATGATAATTATTGACATAAAGTTAGTTTTTAAAACATTCTACTCAACTTCAAGTCATCAAAAAGTCTAGATATTGCCTTGTCTTCCTAAGAACTAAATGCTACCCAGAACACTGATAGCATATGCCTTGTATATAGGTGCCATCTGCTGTAGCCCAGACTGTTGTCCAAAAGGAAAATGGCCTTCAGCACATAAGAAAGATGCTACATGTGAGTGATTTAAGTGTAAAAAAGACTGCAATCTCACTGCTGAGAAACTTGTCTCGGAACTTGTCTCTGCAGAATGAAATTGGTGAGTTTTTTCCAAAATGTTTTTAAGTGTTTATTTGTGGTGTATTCAAAACCCCAATTATTGTGAAAATAATGCAAGAAAAGGAAACAGAAAAATATGTATTAATTGAATAATGTAGAATATGATGTTTTTTGCACTTAGGATTTTAGATTGTTGGGATTCATTAGAATTTAAATGAAATTTCCTTTTTTTAAAGTGTCAACAATTGTTTTAAAGTGAGCACAGAAGGAAGAGTTAGAAAGTGCTTCATAATAACTTCAGTGGACCTATGGTTTCTTCATCATGGATACTTTCTTTATATTACAAGTAGCAATTGGCCTATGTCATATTATCTCACACAGTTTTTGTCCATGTTTTCTGTAAATCCTTCACTGAAAATCCACCCATTATGCTGCAAACCTTTCTTTAGTTCTTTCAGTATTTCATGGTTACCAAAATAACACTGGACAACATTTGTTGTTCCTTACGCTCAGTATATGACCAGATCCCATTCTTAACCATGCTTTTTAGCATTCTCAATGACAAGTTCATCATTAGTGATGTGTTTATATTCAACAAGTTAATTTTTTTTCCTGCACGCCACTAGTTCTTTATTCCAGTTTGATTTTATCACATACACCATTTAACAGGTTTCCATTGTCCTTTGAGTCATATATAATTTCCATTTTCCTTTGGGTAGTCTGAAATTGTGTATCTAATGAAATTGTGATGTTCCATAGTTTATAGCTACATAGTTTCAACAGCAGAATGAATACTGTTGTTAAAAAAAGGATGGTTTCTGAGGCAGCGAGCGTCTTAGAATCATGGATATTATTGTGCAATTCCCCTAACGCAATCCAGCCTCATGTATTCTTCCTTTTCAGATCTAGACTCTTATTTACTATTGTTCTGTGATAGCTGTCTAGGGCATATGCGTTCACGGACAGACTCAGTAACCTGTTCACCTGCCTGCCTGCCTGCCTACCTACCATAATTGAGACAAAATCCACTCTTCATTCGCATGGTTTTTCCTATGTAGATCAGTAGGTTAGTCTCAATTTAGTGACAGTTGATTTTATTGAGAAGGCCCTCTAGCATTCTAGGAATAGATTATAATGAACGTCATCCATAATGAGACACAGCTAGGGAATCTCTTCATCATCAACTGTTCTATTTAGACTCCGCAGGTTAATCTTTCGAGGCACTGACCAACCTCTTTGGTGAGCATATGTCTCTCCATGCTGACTTTGATACTTTCCTTAGCTCTTATTCATCTTCAGTGGATTGTTGAACGAAGATAAATAGTTCATGGTCCCATGTGTCATGGAATCTTATGTCATTGTAACATGTAAATGAAAAACATCTTGTTTGAAGAGAACTTTTCATGGAGCTAAGTGAAACATCATAGGTATTTTCATTTGCATTTCTCTTACTCATAGTACTTGGGGCTAGGTTTTGTCTAGTCATTTATGTTTATAAATTCTTTTGAAAACTGTTTGCTTGACCCAACCAGCAAGATAGCAGATAAGTTGCTTTCTGTGAACCTATTCAATTCTACCAAGAGAAAATGATTAGGCACTAGATATAGATTAATTACAGTTAAATACACAGAAGAGGATGATGGACCCTAACTCCCAGACTCCAACCCCACCCAAGTAAAAAACCTTGTAAATTAACATTGAAGAAGTAGACCTAGAGGTGTACTCAATGCCCTTTCTTCACTAGCATCCACATACCTATGGCAGGGAAAATAGGTTAACTCACAGTCATGCCTGGGACAGGGGACACTAAGACAGCTACATTGACTCTTGACTAAACACACCAGGTTACATAAAAATGAGGAGATACTGATTCTTCCCAATCCTGTGAAGGAAAGGAGGAGAGCAAAAGAGGAATCCTTGTGACTTGATGCTTCTACTTGGGTAAGGACTCCCCACAGCTTCAGTGACTCTACCTGAAGATCTACCAATCTCCCCATCTAACCAGAAAAAAATCTACAATTGCTCATTCTGCCTAGCCACATGAAACAAAAGATAAGAAAAGAGGGAGGGATTGGGGAGGCTGGAAATGTGTCAACATCAGGCATCAAGCCTCCAGCAGCCAAATCTCCCCACGCTTCAGCAAAGTCTATCTGAGCCGGCCACCCCCAGGGGCCAGACCCCTCCCCCCCAAACCGAGAGCTTTAATGAAGTCCTGGGAAATGCAGAAATACTTCATTTGGCCTCAGTACACACTAACCACTAAAACTAGGACCCCAGCTCAGCACCAGGTAAGCTACCAGACCCCTACAGCCTCCATCTGCCAGCACCTGAGGTCCTAGTACACAAAGCCAGAAACCACGCCTCTGCCCCCAGCACAAGAAGTTTGTGTCAGTGCCCCAGAAGCAGAGTTCCACTTTAAAAGCCAGGAAACAGGCAAATTAGAATTGGGTAAGTGGAAGCTAATGAGACGTCAAGAATCAAACAAAATCAAAAGAATGAAAAAATAGAAGAAAATGTAAAATACCTCAGTGGAAAAATAACTGACCTGGAAAACAGATCCAGGAGAGATAATTTAAGAATTATTGGTCTACCTGAAAGCCATGATCAAATAAAGAACTTGAACAGTGTCTTTCAAGAAATCACCAAGGAAAACTTCCCTGAAACAGAGGGTAAAATAGTCATTGAAAGAATCCACCGGTCACCTCCTGAAAGAGATCCCAAATTAAAAAGACCAAGGAATATTGTAGCCAAATCGTAGAATTATCAGGTCAAGGAGAAAATATTGTAAGGAGGCAGAAAGAAACAATTTAAATATCATGGAACCACAGTCAGGATTAAGCAAGACCTTGCAGATTCTGCATTAAAAGATCAGAGGACTTGCAATATGATACAAGGCAAAGGAGCTTGGACTACAACTACCCAGTGAAATTGAGCATAATCTGTCCGGGGAGGAGATGGATATTCAGTGAAGTAGGGGACTTCCAAACCCTCCTGATAAAAAAACCAGAGCTCAATGGAAAATTTGATCTTCAAATACAAGACTCAAGAGAGGTATAAAAAGGTAAATGAGAAAGAGAAAAAAAAACAAAACATGTTAATCAATAAGGGCAAACTGTTTACATCCCTACATGGGAAGATGATACTTGTAACTCTGTGAGAACTGTATCTTTATTACAACATTTAGAAGGGGTACACATGCTCAGAGAGCATGGGTATAAGTTGACATTGATGGGATGATAAAAAAAATCTAATTAAGTGGTGAAAAAGAAGAGGAGGAGAGGAGGAGGCAGAAAAAGGTAAATTACATCCCATTACAGTAGAGGGAAAGAAGGGAGGGAGATAAGCATTGTTTGTATGAATATGTCATACAATATATTAATGTATGATATCATGTTATATTTATTATATCAATATCATGTTATATGTGCATATAATATGATATCATAAATATATCATAACATGTATAATAATATAATAATCATAACTGTAAATGGGATGGACTCTCCCATGGAAACAAATAGCAGAATGGATTAAAAACCATAATCCTACAATATGTTGTTTACAAGAAACATATTTTAAACAGGGATACACACAGGGTAAATGTAAAAGGCTGAAGTAGAATATATTATGCTTCAGCTGAATTTTAAAAAAGCAGGGGTAGCATTCCTGATCTCACACAAAGCAGAAGCAAAAATAGATCTTATTTAAAGAGATAATGAAGGAAACTACATCCTGCTAAAAGGCACCATAGACAATGAAGTAATATCATTACTAAACATATATGCACCAAGTGGCATAGCATTCAAATTCTTCGAAGAGAAGTTCAGGTCTAGTGGGAGACCTCAACCTCCTCCTCTCTGAACTAGATAAATCTAACCACAAAATAAACAAGAAAGAAGTAAAGGAGGTGAATAGAATTTTAGAAAAATTAGATATGGTAAACCTCTGGAGAAAACTGAATGGGGGATAGAAAGGAATATACTTTTTTTCTCAGAGGTACATGGCACCTACACAAAAAATGTACTAGGGCATAAAACCTCACAATCCAATGCAGAAAGGCAGAAATATTAAATGCATCCTTTTCAGATCATGATGCAATCAAAATTATATGTAATAAAGGGCCATGGAAAGATAGACAAAAAATTAATTGGAAACTAAATAATCTAATCCTCAAGAATGAGTGGGTCAAACAACAAATCATAGAAACAATCAATTACTTCATCAAAAAGAATGACAATAATGAGACAACATACCAAAACTTATGGAATGTAGCAAAAGAGGTTCTTAGGGGAAGTTTTATATTTCTCAATGCTTACATGAATAAAATAGAGAAAGAGGAGATCAATGAATTGAGCATGGAACTAAAAAAGCTAGAAAAAGAACAAATCAGAAATCCTCAATTAAACACCAAATGGGCATAGGTGGAATAGGATGGAGGGAAATACAGTTAGCAACAGTAACTGGAAAAAAAAGTCAGATCTAAATAATTGGAAAAATATTTGTTTTTCATGGTAGGCTGAACTAATATAGTAAAAATGACTACCTAAATTTGCTTATTCAGTGCCATACCAATAAAACTATAAAAAAAAAAAATTAAAGCTAGTTTCTTTGATAAAGGCCTTATTTCTCTAACATATAGAGAACTATGGCAAATTTATAAAAATAAGAGCCATGACCCAATCAAAAGATATAATCAGTTTTCATATGAAGTAATTAAAGCTATCTATAGTTATTTGAAAAAAATGCTTTAAATCACTATTGATTAGAGAAATACAAATTAAAACAACTCTGAGGTGCCACATCACACAGATCAGATTGGCCAACATGACAAAACAGGAAAATGATAAATGTTGGAGAAGATGTGGGAAAATTGGAACACTAATGCATTGTTGGTGGAGTTGTGAACTGATTCAACCATTCTATAAAACAATTTGAAACTATGCCCAAAGGCCTATAAAACCATGCATACCCTTTGATTTAGCAATACCACTACTAGGTCTGTATTCCAAAAGAGACAAAAATCAAAAAGGAAAAGGACCT